ATGTGTATGTGTGTATGCGTGTAAGATATCAATCCAGTGTCTCAAGCATGCTAGTCAAGTGCTCTAACACTGAGCTATAGTCCCGGCCCAAGATACACTTACTGAATAAAGAATATCTAACATTTATTAAGCACTCACTATGGGTGCTGTGCTAAGCATTTCACATACACTGTGAAATGTAATCTTTAAATTCTGAGGTAGGTTCTATCTCCCATTTTAAACTTGTGGCAAGGAAAATAAATAAATAAGGTCACACAGCCAGTAATTAGCAGAGCCTATGCTCTTTCCTTCTTATAACTGCATTTACTTAGTTACTAAGCACCTAGAAATGTGCTAGACACCATATTCAGCATTAAGGATGCACAGTCTTTGCCCTTGAATAGAATAGCTCCGTATGAATAAAGGATCTAAAAACTACACTCATTCACTCATTCACTCATTCATTCATTCATTTCTGTAGGCAAGCATTCAATTACTGAGCTACATTCCCAGCCTGAAATCACTTTTAAATGTTTGTAAGGCAATGAAGAAGAGGGCAGGAGGCTTGGAAAGCAATGAGATTGTTTACAAAAGCTCACAGGATGCAATCAATGTGTAATAACGATGGTGTAATAACAGCAGCTAACATGTATGAAGGAACTCACTATGTACCTACACTGTGCTTTGTGGAACTTATTTAATCCTTACACTTACCCTGTAAGCTAGGTTTTATTATCCCTCTTCCAGATAGGTAAGCTAAGGTAACAAAGTTAATTCTTGTGTTCATGGTCATGTAGCTACTGAAAGAATTTATATACAGGTTTGCCTGACTTCAAAGCCCACATTCTAGGGAAAAGAAGCTTCTCATAAGTCCTTTATGAAATCTAGAAAGATAAATAGGGGTATGGCAAGCTACGGGACAAGATTCTCCATAGAAGTTATGCAAAGAGCCCATTTACAGATGAAAACCATTCTCGGGACAACAAGCCATGGGGGTGTGAAATACAGAGGAGGAAGCGGAATACAAAGTTAGGGTGGTTTGGGCCTGGGATGTCGCTCAGTAGTACAAGTGCCTACCTGGCAAGTGCAAGGTCTTAAGTATTGATTCCTAGTACAAAAAAAAAAAAAAAGAGAGAGAGAGAGAGACAGAAGTTTAGCATCAATTGAGTTAAGAGTCTGTCCCCATAGCAGGAAGTGCTCATGTGAGATTTCAAGCACAAGAAAGATGCTAAGATGCTTTACATGATCTGCAGTTCCTGAGGGCAGCATGGAGAGTGAACAATGCTAGCAAGACAGAGACTACTGCAATAGCATAAATGCTGGCCAATCACACAATGAGAAAGTTATGTAAAAACCTGAGGCCCACAGCACTTAACTGTGGCAAAAATGGATGTGCAGTGAAGGGAGAAGAGGCTGAGCTTGTCATCTGAGCCAGTGACTAGGTAGGTAGGTAAGCGGTATGACAACAGGGATGGAAACATGAAAAATCTCTTTCTCTTCTATTTAGTGCTTATTCCTCAACCACTTTTATGTTTATGTTTATCCCTCAACCACAATCTATTTAATAAAGTACATGCCCATCTCACTTTCCTTATTTGTGTGATGTTCGCATTTTCTATAATTTTGCATCAAGTTTATAAGCCTAGTGCTAGGCATGGTATCACTTGCCTATTATCCTAACACTTGGGAGGCTAAGGCAGGAGGACTGCTGAGAGTTCAGTTTCAAAATGTAAAATTTTAACATCAAAATTTTAAACCAAAAAAAAAAATTTTAAGCCAGGCACACTGGCACATGCCTTAATCCCAGCTACCCAAGGCAGAGGCAGGAGAATCAGCGTGGCAACTGGTGATTCAGCAAGACCTTGTCTCAAACAAATACACACATACACACACACACACACACACACACACACACACACAGAATGGGGGTATAGATAAGTGCAAAGTTACTAGGTTCAATCTCCAGTACTGAAAAACAAATCCGAAGTTTCAAAAGTTTTAGAGCATATTATTTACAATTATAAATGAAGCATTCAACCACATACACTATTAGACTTATTCACACTGAAAATTTGTATTTACAAATTTTTTTTTTTGGGGGGGGGGCCAGGTGTGCTGGCACATGCCTGTAATCCCAGCACTCGGGAGGCGGAGGCAGGAGAATCACTGCAAGTTTGAAATCAGCCTGGGCTACATAATAAACTCAAGGCCAGCCTGCACTGCATAATGAGACCCTGTCTCAAAAAGACACAAACAGAAACAAAAAAAATCATGTGTGTGTGAAAACAAAAAAAGTGTGTGTGTGTATGTGTGTATATATATATATATATACATATATATATAACTAAAATATTAGTGTAAATATTTTTAAACCTTCATGAAACCATCATGGTTGAAACCATCATGGAAATATTTAGGTAAAGTTATAAAATTTATACTAAAATAATATGAAATAGTTTCAAAACAAAAGCTTCTAAGGCATAACCCATTTTCCTTTTAATTCAAAATACACCAGCAGATGGAAATGCAGAAAAGTATTAAAAGCAGGTTTTTTTCTAGAAGGCAGGAATATGAAGTCATTGTTTTCTCCCTCTTCTCCTTTTTTTTTTTTTTAGACAGGGTTTCATGATGCAGTTCAGGCTGGCTTGAACTCACTAGGTATCCCAAGCAGGCCTTGAATTTATGGCAATTTTCCTGCCTCAGCCTCCAAAATGCTGAAATTATGCACTACCATATGAAGCAGGAATATTACTCTTCCAGCAAAAAAGGAACAAAAGAACACTTTAAGGTACATGCAGATTGTACCCAATAAACATTTAATGAATAAGACTTTTTAAACATAAACACTTTCCACTATAGAAGTAGTCAGACTATTACTGATGAATTCCATCCACTCTGATAACCTTTATGTTGCCAAACAGATATTTTCCTTATTAGGAAGGCCTTCCAACTTACAGTTTCATATACTTTCTAATTCGCACATTTTTCCAATGCTAATTATTTCTCTACTAACACTATATATGTAGAAAGAGACTACTGTCAAACTACTACCATGTTCTCTAATACTGTACTACCTTATCCTAAGCTTTCCAGGTCATCTTATTACAATGAGATTAAATGAAAAGCAAGTTTAGGTAAAAACACAAGGTTAAAAACAAAAAAAAAAAACGAGGCAAAGTTACCAACAAGGACCTGAAGCAGAAGTAAAGCGAGGTTTTCTGACTACTAGTTTAGTCTTTCAGTTTCAGAAAGCTGTGTTTAGAGGGCACTTAAAATACAAATCACTCCCACCCACCCACTCTTCTCCAACATTTGCTCAAGCAAAACAATTAAGCAGACTTTAAAGTTAACAGGAAATAACAGAACCAAAAATAACTGGGGTGTGGTATCACCTCTGAAGAAGCTTTCGAGCGGTGAATAAATGTAGACATCTCTAGCCAGATGAGACAGAATCAAGTCACAATTTTACTACCCAATACAATATTACTTAACTACTTATACAGCAGAGTTTTGTTTTTGTTTTTTTACATTGGCTTTATTTTCTTAAAAGAAACTGTAACTACTTAACTCTTAGAAACTGGGGACAAGAGAGAAGGGAAATGACAACTGTCACCAAGAAGCCAATACTGCTATGGTCAAATTCTTATGCTAAAGATTTTTTACATGTAAATAAAACCACACATTACAGAAGCCTGAAATTGTGAGTGTTTTATTTAAGAACATTCTTAAAATGCATTAATTTGAAATTGTACTAAGTAATAAATTTGCATCATGAAGGAAGTTCTCTGAGGGTGGTACTCACTCGGCTATGAGGAGATAGCAATAACCAGAAGGAGTTTTAATTCACTTCTGTATCTAAGGACATGAAAGTGTCAATTAAAAGTTTCCTTTACAACTGAGTATGGTGGCACATCCCTATGACCCCAGCATCCTGGAGGCCGAGGCAGGAGAATCACTGTAAGTTTGAGGCCAACATAGTTCAAAGCCAGCCTGAACTTCAAAGCAAGACCCTGTCTCAAAAACACAAAATTCCCTGTATATCTTGTTGACATGTTATGGTGTAAATTACAGGGCACCACGGCGATAGCATTTTGAGATTCCTGAAGGCCTGAGGAATATCATTAAACTTCTCTCTGATCTTATCTATCCTCATTTGAAGGGGCACTTCTTGTCCATTGGCTTCCCTCCTATTTCTGCTTAGAACGGGGAATTAGAAAGCAGTAAGGCTGTATTTTGAAAAAACACTGCTGGAGAGATAAAGACAGACAATATGACACAGAGATGATACAAGGACCTCCAAATGATGTAAAGGAAATACTGTAACTCCCAATGTGTTAAATGTCCCTATGCCAAGTCTGTGTTCCCCAAAATCAAAAAATGAATTCTAAGGAATGATAAAAGTTAACTGTAGGAAATATTTACTTAAGATGGCTTCTGTCTGAGAGAGAGAGAGAGAAGGGGACCTAGAAAGTGGGTTGCCCAAGAGCCCATTCTCAAAGGAAGTGTTACAGAGCAAAATCATGAGGTGGACAGGAAATCATGAGGTGGACATAAAATGGGACAAAACTATGATCAACCAATGAGATTACAAGTATAGTTGCTTAGGTAATATTGATCCAATGGGGAAGGAGTCACATAGCAAGCGTGCATGGAAAGAACAAGGACCTTTCCAGTAAGAGATGGGTCAAGGTCTTGATTCCCCACCCAGGTGATTGATGCCTATTCAGAAAATCAATCATTATTATTTATCCCTGGGGAAGCAAGTATGTGTAGTGATTTCAGCTTTGTCTTGAAGACTGGCCTTCAACAAATGTACCTCCAGCCACAGTTGTAATATAATCTAATCTTCTTCACTGACTCCAAGCCCTAACTGCCTATAATAGTTCTACCTAACTTAGGTGTCTATAATATTAACACTTAACTAGTACAGCAGAGAGGAGTCATCTTAGCATGAGAGGAAACTGCCAACACCCTACATAGCGGATGCACAGGCTGTACTAATGGCACAGTACAGAACTTACTGTATACAATGATGACCTTGATTCATCCAGAAGGATTATGTAGAGTATATTCTGAGTACTAAGAGAGGACTATATATTCCTGGTGCTTTAGATGCTGTAAAGACTTAAAACAGTCAAAATAACTATTAACAGACAAGTGTCAAAAATAAAATAAAATAAAATAAAAGGCAAGTGTCAGTTATATCAGCTTTCTACTTAAAATCCTTAAATGACACCACACAAATGTTGAACAGGTAAGTCTCAAAAATATCATTATATTTACTAAGTATCAAATAGTGTAATTAATATTTATGATACCCATATTGTTCTGCCTTTTGAACATTTTAAACTTTCCTTGTTTAAAAAAATATATTATTGTCACCAATCTTAGTTTCCTTTCTTCTTCCAATATCAAAATGAAAGGAGAAAAAAAGCACAGTATTTTATTTTCCCCAGCATAATGCTAACCAGTTCATCAAGAGGCCACCAATGAAACTCATCTATGTATATTCCCCTTTTACACTGCTTTTCACTGTGTGCTTTTAAGCCATGTGTTAGGACTTAAAGAAAGGTTAGGCTTACTTCTTCCATTTGGACAAAAGAAGCACAAGAATTAGTGGTTTTGTTTGACAGGTCTCGTTAAGGGCAGAAACAACATCAACAACAAAAATCTACAAAACTTAGAAAGCATTTTAAGTTTTGTTCTTATAACAGTAATAACAAAAATCTCACTCAGGTAGATACATGAATCAGAGAACATTTTCCAGCTATAGCCAAAAGGAAAATAAAAAAAGCAACATCATGTCAAGAGATCTCACAAACATCATAAATAAATGGACTTATTTGTGCAGCCACAGTAAGATTTTAAAAGCAGTGACTTGCAATGACAGCGAAAGAGGACCAGAAGACACCTGGTGTAAGAACCAAAAATGGAGTTAAGGGCGTGTCAAGAAAAATAGGAGTCTACATTTAAAAAAGACTTAGAAGAGTCCAGTCAACACCTGTCCATGCACCACAGATGACTTCCCAGGTAGGAGAAGCCCAAAAAGAAAAAACCGTTTCCTTCCCATAAATAAACAAATAAATAAATAAGAAAGACGGGGGGGGGCGCTCTGGGAGTGGCACTCTAGAAGCAAGACAACCTCGGGGATCCAGCTGCTACTGGCCCTGGGGCCACGGAAAGGGAGCCCCGAGGGCTGCCCCAGAGTCGGCCGCCCCCGCCTCTCCAGCCCCGCCGGATCCCGCCCCGGGTGGGCGCTGCCCGGTTCCATCTCTCGCCGCTCCCCTCCCGGCCCCCGCCGTCGCCCCAGGCCCTTTCCCGCGGGAGGCCGAGGCAGGCCCGGCCCGCTCAGCACCTTTGATGACGCGGTCCGTGGTGGAGAACGGGAAGCGCCTGCCGGACATGGTCCCCTCGGCCTCCTCCCGGCTCCGGGACTCCGCCGCACGTACGCCTCCGCCTGGTCGCCGCTTTCCTGTGCCGCCGCCTCAGCTGCCCTTGGCCGTCAGCCCGGCGTTGTCACCACACCGCCAGGAGGATCGGCCTTGGACGCCACTCACAGGAGCGAGCGCCCGCGGCTAGCCCGGGACCTCGGCGTCGAGAGCGACGGCGACGGCCACTGAGGGCGGCAACTAGGCGACCGCCGCAGGTCCCAGCCCGCGCCCTCGTGCGCGCCCCGCGCCGCGCTCACGGCCCCTCAGAGACCCCACCCCTCGCGCCGCGCCCACATCCCTTGCGCGCCCCCGCGCCGCGCCTGAGGCGCCTCAGCCGTCCCGCCCCTAGCGCCGCGTCCACAGCCCCATGCGCGCCCCCGCCCTGCGCCCCTGGCTCCTCAGCGGCCCCGCCCCTAGCGCCGCGTCCACAGCCACGTGCGCGCCCCCGCGCCGCCCTCAGGGCTCCTCAGCAGCCCCACCCCTCGCGCCGCGCTCAACCCCACAGCCCCGGGCGAGACCCCGCGTCAGGCTCACAACTTCCCGGTGCCCTCCGCGCACCCCCGCGCTCCGTTCGAGGCTCCCCGGCAGCCTCAGACCGTGCACGCGCGCGCCCGGCTCGCGGTCTCTGCTGCAGACTCCCACTTCACAGCCGGCTCTGCCTGCGGCTCAAGCTTCCCTCCTCTCCCTGGGGGCGCTGTCGGTCCCCGCGCACTCCTCCCCTTCACCCTGGCCAGCACCACGCGCGAACCTGGGGACCGCGGTTTAACGTCGCTTTTGCCGACTAGCGCAGTGAGGAGGATCTGCTCGTCCCTCCCGGTGCCAACCCGGTGCGGGGCTGGGGGCGCTTAGTGCTGCGCTCCACCCCGAGCCCCTCAGTTCCCCTCTGCATCCAACCAAGAGGGAGGCGTCAGGTCCCGGGCCTGCCTGGGCCCCACCTGAGTGAAAGGAGCTCAGCTTCCCCTCAGCCCTTGGTGCTTCCTGCCCAGCTGGACAAAGTGATGATACCTTTCCCGCCCCCAATCCAGTGTTTTTCGTTTCGTTATTTTGTGATACAGCACCATGGGCAAGACTCTGCAGTCTTAATCTGACTCATCTCAAGGGTGAAAACTGGCCCTCCTTGCTCCTTAAATTGTAAACCTCATATAGGTAGAATTCTACTGGATGTGGTGACACACATCCATAGTCCCAGCACTCTGGAGACTAAGGCAGGAAGAAGGTAAATTACAGCCCAGCTTGGGCATTTTAGCGATTTAGCCAGTTCCTGTCCCAAAATTAAAAAAAAAAAAAAAATTAAGGGCTAGGGATGGGCCTCAGGGTGGAGGGCCTGTATTCAATGCATGGTACCAGGAAAAGTATTAATAATTGCAACTCAACATAAGCAGCTCAGCCGGGGGTGGCGATGCACTCCTGTAATCCAGCACTCAGGAGGCTCAGGTAGGCTGGTTTTTGCAAATTTGAGACAAGCCTGGGCTACAAGGTGAGCCCAAGGCCAGCCTGAACCGCATAGCGAGATCCTTTCTCAAAAAGACAAAATAATAATAACAGAAGTTGGGGCCCAACCTAGAGCTGCAGAGAATCTGCATCCTAGCAGGATTTGCACTGATGTGTGCACACGCTTCTGACAATCTGCTTGCTTCCCAGGAAGAGGCAGAAACTCCATGGCCTACTTTGCAGCTTTCCTCCCAAGGTTTTGACAGCGTGGGCTGAGACCAACAGGAGCCGCCCCCCACAACCCCGCTTGGCTCCCCCAGTCTCCCTTTGGAGGATGTCAGGGGCTTTCCAGTTACTTGGACGTGACTCTTAAGGAAGGACAGGCCCCTGGTCTCCCCTGAGGAGTCGAGTCTCCACAGCCCGTGGAGCATCAGGCTGGACGGTAACCAAGTCCACGCTGCAGAATCTGCCTCGTCTCTGCACCTTCGGGCTTCACCCTGACTCTGGGACAGCTTTTCAGCGCAAACTTGACTGTGGATGCTGCTCCGCATTGCTCCCTGGAAGCCACTGCCTTAGAGACCCAGTTTAGAGCCCTTAGTCTGGCCTCAGAGCTGCTGCCCAGTCTGGTCTTAACCCACCTCTCCAGCCTCTGGCCCTGCACAATGCCAGCACAGGAGCCATCTGCTGGGCAGGACAGGGCTCAAAAGCAAGGCGGAGAAGAGAGGGGGTTGGGCATGCCGGGCTCGGCTTGCCGCCCTGGTACTACCCAAACCATGTGCTGCTGTGTCCTGCCTGGAATCACGGCCTAGGATCAGCCTGCTCCCAAGTGGAAGGTCCCGTGGGGCTCCCTCCCAAATTTTTAGTGTTCTCGACAAAGAACTGCACAACAGGCACAGAAAAAGTCACACGATTTTTTTTTTCAAATGCATTTTATTTCAAAGAGGAAAAGAAAAAATTCAAAACACATCAATGGGGCAACAACATACACACTGTGCACTGTCATCCCAAATCATTCACTCAGAGCACACGACATCTGCATTCAATTAGGACATACAACTTTTAAAAATAATTTGGTTTGGCAATAACAAATGCTGACAGAGCTGGGGAGAAAGGCTTGTCTTGGTTACTTTTCTCTCCTTGCTGGGACAAAACACCCAATACCCAAAACAAAGGAAGGAGAGGTTTATTTAGCTCACTGTTTGTGGAGGTTTCGGTCCATAATCAGCTGGCATCAAGGCAGGGTGGCATGGCACTGGGGCAACACTTCAAGACAACAGGCAGAGCAAAAGTGGCGGGGTGGGGGAACAAGCCTCTTCTCCTTATACTGTACACAGGCCACACCCCACACCCCACAGTGGTGTAGCACTCACAAAATCTCTGTGCCCTCTTGCACAGGATGAATATATTTACAAAAGTAAGGTCCTGGCTTGCAGCTGAGTCTCTTAAACTTGTAAACCCCTCAAGTTGACACAAGGTATCAACCATAATAAGGCTATTGGTGAGAGTGTAGGCTGTTGCAACCACTGTGGAAATCAATGGGGAGAGTCATCAAAAGCCTAGGGCTAAAGGTTACTTTGACCCAGCCATTCCCCTACTGGTATTTTCCCAAAAATAATTTAAAGCATCATACCACAGCAATATATGCACACCCATGTTTATAGTGGCACAGTTTATAATAGCCAAACCTTGGAAACAGCCCAGGTGCCCATCAGCTGGTGAATGGATAAAGATGTGTGTGTGTGTGTGTTTTTTTTTTAATACAGTGGAGCACTACTCTGCCTTGAAGGATCAGCTCCAGACACTTCTAGGAAAACAAATGTACCTTGAGACCATTCTGAAGCGAAATAAATGAGACGTGTGTGAATATGGTGTTATTTATCTGGTGTAAGAAACCAAAAGTGTAAATACGGACAAACTGTATGATAGATATTGTGAAATAGGAGAAAAACATTCAAATGAAGAGTGGCACAAAGAAGAAGGGAAAAGGAAAGAAGGAAAAACTAAAAATAAATGAGAAAAGATGGAAAACATGGAAACAAAGCTTTGTAAATGGAGAGGGGAAGAGGGGTTGAAGAAGGGTAGGAGAATGGGGAAAAAAGGGAAACAAGTTATATCATGTACAGGTACAAATTCTCTATGATGAATATGATCATTATGTATATCAAAAATGTACCAATAAGATCTAATTAAAACAAGTCTTCAATTGAAAAAAGCCAACAATGCCAAAAAGACAAGTTAAAAAGAAAAGGTACAAATAATCTAAGAAATTAAACAGAAGTGCATCACTATTGAATCTACATTTTAAAAATAATAAAAAGATCAAGGAAAACTAGTGCTCATAAATTTTAAAATCTCGAAGTAGAAAGTCACTTCAAAATATATGACATAAAAACTGACACAAAAATTTTAAAATTCAAAAATACTTATATCTGATAAAGAAATTAAGCCCACAAATTAAAAATGTCCCAAACAAACAAACTTCACTGACTTCACTGGCAAATTGTCCTAACAAAGAATAGAAAGAAAAGAATCACTTTGCAGCATGTTTTACGAAATTGGCAAAATGTTGATATCATAGTTTTTTATTTTATTAAATTTCAATACACCATCTTTAAAAAAAAGAATGAGATGGCCACGGTAGTACCTATCTGTAATCCCAGCACTCTGGGAGGCTGAGGCAGGAGAGATCACAAGTTTGAACCCATCCTGGGCAATTTAGTGAACCCAGTCTCACAATACAGTATGGTACAGTATAGCGCAGTACAGTACAATATAATGGGGCCAAGGAGGTAGCTCCATGCAGAAGTCCTGAATTCAATCCTTAATATCATAGCAGAACAAAATGAATTTCCTATGTTGGTCAAAATTGACACAAATAATTAAAATTACCCAGATTCATGTTTAACTGCCTTTTCTACTAATTATTTAAGATCTGGTTTCCAGTGCACAAGGCTATAAGAGTTGGTGTATTCCCTGTGAAACTCCCCAAGCACTTCAAATATCTTGATTAATGGCAACCTAGCTCCCCTGAGAAATAATGAACACTTTTAATTTAACAAAAGCTAAGGGAATCTTGTTTCCACTGTTACATAAAAGTAACCTGGTTTTGGTTTCTATTTATATGAAGTCATTAAATATTAAGCTTCTGGGTTAAGTGCAAGCAAGGGAACTACAGCTGTCTTTAAACTAGAGTAAAATAAGGATTTCTAAACTGGGCATAGCTGTCTGCAAGTGTTATCCCAGCACTTTGGGAGGCTGAGGCAGGAGGATTATAAATTCGAACCCAGACATGGCATCTTAGTGAGACCCTGTCTAAAAACAAAAAATAAAGGGCTATGTTGCAGCTCATCAGGAAGACTCTGGATTCTGTCCCCAGGGTGGGGGTGTGAGGAGGGGCATACAGCAAAAGGTATTTCATCATGCATATTCTCCAGTTTAAAATAAAAAGTAGTACTACAAAAATCTTTTGGATAGTGCTGGGGATCAAAATCAGAATGTTTACACTGAGTTACATCCTCAATTCTTTTTTTTTTTTTTTAATTTTAAGACAGAGTCTTGGGCCAGAGATATAGCTCAGCAGCACAAGCGCCTGCCTGGTAAGCACAAGGTCCCAAGTTCAATTCTTGATACAAAAAAAACCCCCCAAAACCAGATCTCACTAAATTGCCTGGATTGAGCTCAAACTTGGAATCTTTCTGCCTCAGCGTGCCAGAGTGCTGGGATTACAGATGTGTACTACCATGTCTGGCTTACATATGTTTTTATTAGTAACATACCATATATATGGTCACCACATACTATATTTTATTCATGCCTCCTGTAAGCGTATTTAGGGTTTTGTTTTTGA